ATTACTGACAGGCTATTTTATCAAAAACTTACCTTGACAAATACCCTGCACGTTCATATAACCCTGGCCACATGGACGGCATTCATAGGATCCAATGGTGTTAACACACAGAGATAAAGTCCCACAGACCATCACGTTGTTCTTACATTCGTCAATATCTACACGTATCAATAATATAAATAACAAAAACCATTAAACGTCCGCGAGGATATATGTGCATTATTTGTGCTTTTAAGCTCGTATCTAAATTTGCGGTTCTAAAGAAACAAAATATAAAAGAGCATCAAATTTCTTGAAACTGTGTAAGCAAATCGTCTTTATTTTCCTAAAAAATACATTAGTAACGTAAAAGAATGACAAACATTAGCAGAACAAACTCTATTAACTTGGGCGTATTGTTTTCCCATTTCAGATCCATGTGTCATTCTCTGGAGTATCATTTCTTTGTTTAACGGTTATACATCAGAAGAGTCAAGAATATGGACGATACAACTTAAACAGCGACTCTTATTTCATATTACGTCTACTCCTACTTCTCTCTCTCTCTCTCTCTCTCTCTCTCTCTGAGTCTCTCTCTCTCTTTCTCTCTTACGTTCTGTTCCTTCTTTCTATTCCCATTCCCTAAAAACAGATAATCCATGTCTCTTCCATTCGCGCGCAGGCTTGGGCATCTTTATTTCTTTCACTTCCATCTCTTTTACTTTTATCTTTTTTTTCACATTTACCAACGTCAATACCTTTTATATTACTCAAAGGAGCACTACCTACCGACACACTTAGCGTCTAATGAATCGGGGCTGAATATTGCGGGACCTTCAAAGCCATGCTTGCAAACACATTGATTTGACATTGGTAAAGAGGGGTCTTTCATGGCGTAAGCAATATCTTCACATACTTTGGGTAACTCGCCAAGTGGAACTGTGTACGATAAGATATCAATAATATCAAGTAAAACTTACAATTCAGAGAATCATACGAATCAGAGAAGCAAACATCCATCCATCCCTTCATCCATCCATCCATCTATCCATCAATCTATTAATCCATCCATTCTTATATAAAAATCTTTTATTCAAAAGTATTCGCTCGAATACATGATGATCTGCCTTCCAATCCAATCAAGAACAAAAAACATCGATATCAGCATTTGCGCACTGCGCGCGCWGCTTCAAATTTATTTCACGATTTGTTCTGCTTCGCCGAATGCCTGCTAATTTTTTCAACTTAGTTCATAAAATGTGTATAAAATTTATATATTTTTTGCATTTGTATTAGTGCTTTGAATTTAAACTAAAACTACAATAAAAAACCCCATGCATTAGCTTTGCTAATATTTTCAAATTAGAGTTTACTATGATGAAATTGTATTGAAAATTCTCTCAATATTTTCTAAAAACGTTAAGGGAATTTTTTTGCGAAAAAATTAATAAAAAAAAAAAAAGAAAAAAAAAGTAACTTACTTGGTGAAGCCACGTTGCTTTGAAAGTAAAACGACGTTGAAGCCACCAACAAGAAGCTTAGAAGAAGCTTCATTGTTGAAGTTGAAGGAAATCTTCAACCAGCGAATGATGGCTGAGGTTGATGAGAATTCTGAAGAACTTAATTGGATGACGTCAAAATCATCGTCATCTAATTATAATTTAATTTTTCAATTAAGTTAATTACACAATCAAATTATAAATAATTATTCGCAAGATCTTTGAGCTTAGTACTAAAAATTTGATTTATTAAGGAAATCTTTCACTTCAATTTGTAAAATTTTTGCATTGTTTTTTTTTATATTCTTTTTGCAAAAAAATGCATTTACTAGAGATTGTAACAACGTGAATTAGTTGTTACTTTCGTGACCATGCGTGACATTATTATTTTTAAAAGGTGGCGGTCTTTGTCACATGACGTAAAGAAACGGATAATCACGTAATATGATTTATATAATTAATAATTTTACAATGAATTGCTAATGACAGCGGTTTGCCATGAATGTTTTTATAAACGAGACCCTTGTCACGCTATGGCGTGACATCATGAGATATTTGATTAAGAAGTGTACGTGAAATACATGAAAATGAAGCATTTTTAATAACATCAACTTTTCAACCGATTCCTTGTGTGGCAGATTCTATGGGCCGGCCAGTCTTTCCCCTGATGCCTTCAGGCTAGAACATTTTCTTGCGTAATCCGTACACCCAAGGGCTTTTATTGCCGTCAGGCCCGAAGTCCATACGACGCCTCAGCTCTGCGGAGGTATGATACAGCTGAATCGATTTTTTTTTTAAATCCTGTTGGTGGACTTAGGTTCAAATCCCAACATATTAAGACAAAATAAATTTTATTTCTACTTTTTCCTTTCGTTTTCTTTTACCCCTATTAAATTGTCTAATGAATTCATGTTCCTGTAAGAGCTGGGGTGCTTACCATTTACCCGTAAGAAACTGGAAATTCCGGTTGGAAGACCGATGATATGCGTCGATCATTCCAATCAGAAAGTTCCGGAAAATTCGGTAATCCGATCGAGGCAATCCGCTCTTTTTCGTTCTTACGGTCAGTAGGCTCGTGTACCATTTTTGGAAGAAAAAGTTTCCCACTCTTTTTTTGCCATTAAAAAACGAATTTCCAACCGGATTGATGGGTTGAAATGATAAGTTCCCCTGTTCTCTATCATCAGGTCAATCATGATGTCAATTTGTCCCTTTCTTGCTAATCAACCACATTAATTTCTTTACATTATATTACATTTTGTTCCTTTGTTTTAATTTACTTAACAAGTACCTTCATTCATTTTTTTCTTGCAACTGATAATGACAGACGTTTCTATTGAAAAGTTTGTCATCATTCTGTCGGGACATTTTTGTGCCAAAGAGGTTGATTTTTCACACCAAAATCTTTATTAGATCCCAGTATTTTATAAACCGAGTGTTCATTGGTCATTTCGTGATTGACAAAGATTCACAACTCATGATTCCACTCTTTGGGACCACTTGAGCATGAGCTTAGAGTAGTTGCGCGGAATTCTTGATGCATGTATAGTAAGCAGTAGAAAGTCATCTTAATGCCGATTTAGACGGTACGATTTTTGCCTACAACTATCGTATACAACACGCTCGCGTCTGTCGTAGGCGAGTCGTAGGCTTGATTTACACGCTACGACTCGAGTTGTAGGATGGCGCGAGCGTGTTGTACACGATAGTTGTAGGCAAAAATCGTACCGTCTAAACTGGCCTTAAGGTATTGGTGCGGTGCGGAGTACCCCAAGGGACCATCCTTGGCCCCTCTTGTTTTTATTATATATCAATTATTTACGTAATTTTCTGACTTATTCCTAGCCAAAATGTATGCTGACGACCTTAGCTTAATATTTGCTCGCAATGACATTAACCAAATTAATGAATGCGCTAACAAGTTATAGTATCTTCTTATATCTTATCCTATGGTATTAACCGGGAAATACATCACGACTCATATGCTCTTCTTAAATTCTCGCCCCGCACCCCCCCTCCCCCCTCACGTACAATTACTGGCCATTAAATTTCGCGAGAAGAAAATACGGGGAATAAATTCAATTGTTTTCATTCGTATTTTTAGTCTTGGTTTTGCTTCATTCGCGATGGGTGCGTTTTAATTTATCAGGTTGTAGTACTTCTACTCTCTGTTTGATAGGAGGTGTATCCGGAAGAATATATTGATGCACTTCATCGTGGGAGCTCAATGCTTCATTACTGTGTCGGTATCCATAGAAGAAGTAGATGAAGAATCCTAAATGAAGATAGAGAAGATAGAAAGAGTTAAAGGAGTCGGGTTCGGGAAAAATCGTATATTCTTCACGCCTTTTTTTCGGAATAAAATAATTCCGAGCTCCATCAGGCGGGATTCGAACCCGTGACCTCTGCCTTTTTGTTTGTTAGTCAGACATGACTTTCTAATCCAACTAACAAACAGAAGGTCGCGGGTTCGAATTTTGCCTAGAGCTCGGATTTTTTTTTTCCCGAGAAAAAATTAGCTTGGAGAAACATTATATTTATTTTTGTTAATAACTAAACACTAATAACACCAAATAGGAATGCTAAATATATACTATGGTGACAAGGGTTTCAATATCGCCACTTTGATGGCAAGAACGAACTAGTGACAAAGAAAAACAAAGAAAACAAGAAGGCATTACCGCCACCCGGTTACATCGATTAAAAAGAGTCATTGTGTTGTATGGGCATGGGAGGTCGTAGTTCAAGTCTATGGCCTCACCAACACTCAGGGTCTTAAAATAACAGAGCTGAAGAGAACATACAAGAACGATTGTCTCCTGGTTCAACAGTATCCCAATATGGAGGTACAGCACTAAATGTACTACCAATTTCCCCATTTTTATTATAAGCTGAATGGCTGTTTATCAAAGCGCCTCAATATGCAGCCCGTCAAGTCTTCCTCTGGCCATAAAAATGTAAAGCGCATCGAGACGATGTTAGATAGGAACTTCCCATTATTATTATCAGGGAACTGCACTCCATATTTGTAATTAATTAAATTGCGGCATTCAAAAAAAAGGAATTAGTGAAAATGTTTCTTTGGGCTAAGAGTTTATAGACAAAAAGAATAACTAGAAGTTTCTTGAGTAGATATTTCGGACGCTATCCATCGTCCATCATCAGTTTACAGTACTTCATTAATACGTATTAGTCCCTAGGGCTAAAGTATTCACTGTAATGTAACACTCATAGAGTCATTAAACTGATGATGGACGATGGATATCGTCCGAAATATCTACTCAAGAAACTTCTAGTTATTCTTTTTGTCTATAAAGGAATTAGTACAGCGTTACGAAATAAGATAGCAGTGTCAAGATATTAACATGCATGATATATCCTTATACTTAAATACTTACCAAGTACCATCCAAATGCCAAATCGTACATACGTCCAGTACTTCAACTTCACCACCAACAGAACATTGATAAAGATGGAAATGGTTGGAAGATACGGACAACCAGGGACCATGAACGGAAAGGTAGCATCATTCTTTGGCTGTCTCTCCAAAACCATTAGCGACATTAGAATGACAAGACCAAAGAAGCAAGCCAGCAATATCGCCCAGACTTCTTTTTTAGCCAGATGTGGGTATGCAAGAGTGAGAGTCAAACACAGTCCAGTTATTCCAAGAACCAGTGAAGCAGCAGCGAACGAAGCTCGGCAGCAAGACTCAGGCGATGGTTCGGCTTTCTCCATGTCGCTGGAGGTCATGAAGTCGGTATCTTGTTGCACCTTTTCATCTTCGTTACTCAAAACTATATTTGTAAAACAAATATTTTAAGGGTCAGTTTATTGAATTGATTTTAAGAAGTCGTTTGCACGATGCATGAAGTTATTTATTTCAATAAAGTGGGAAAGGGACTCTGGTCGTGGTACCATGACTTGGATCACCCCGGATATTAAATTGTTTCATACAGGGTTCGATAAAATTCGAATAAGGTTCTTTAGTAACTGATGCTATAATTTAAATGCCCTATAAAAGGTCTCGATAATAAAGAAAGTGGTGAAAAACGTATTGACTATCAGAAACTTTATTACAACTATAACATGGTATCCTAGGATCAACGTAACTGCTTAATTTAAAATTTTGGTTCCAAATATTTATGCATTTAGGAATAAAAGATAAAAGCCCATGTGAACATATGTGAAATAAGTGGTGGTGCTTGTAAGAGTGCACGCCATATATCCGTTAAACGATTATTTACTATTTATTACTTATTGCTATTATTATTATTTTTTATTATTGGTTATCAACTACATTGATTGTCGAATTCACTCAGGCAAGAACCAAACAAAGAGGCGTAGACGAATTTGCTTTTCTTCCCAATATTCTGATCCAGTGTAGTATCCACTGTTTCGTACAAAATATGCGCAATTAGATATTAAGAGAGAATTAAATTCTTTTCGTATTCAAGCAGTGAGCGCCAAAAACTATTATCTTGAAGAAATCCTGTTGTACAAGGCTAATATCTTGTTATTCAGAAAGTTTAACTTGTTTGGAAGTGGGGATGACCGATGAAAGTGGAATCAAAKTGTTAACCCAAAGCAAAAATTTTATTCGAAAATGAGGTGTAGGCCTTCATTTGCCATAGCCATACGTCGTGTTTTTAGCCAATCATCGCATGAATCGAATTTGCTTACGTGATTTTGACGACAGACGCGCGCTCTTTTTGTAAACAAACCTTTTTTTAAATTTACGATATTTTTCTCGTACAAATCTATTATATATAGCGAATAGATCAGGCTTAGCTATGTTCTGTTTTATCAGAGTACTGAACATAGCTATGCCTGATCTATTTGTTAAATAAAATATAAATGTTTTAACAGAGTGTCTATACAGTATAGTCGATTCGTGCAAAATCTTAGTGTCAAAACTATTGTCAAAATAAAATTATTTCTTTCTTTAAAAATTCTGATGTTTTGACTCAATACACCAGGTATGTATTTTAGTGCAATAGCTATCTACTGAAGTGTGAACAAGTACCTTCATAGTCGCCCTCCTTGTCTTCTTTTTTACAGCAAAGCTTCTTGAGCCATTTCCTCGTGTTTTCCTGGTAAACATCCCCTTCGATAGTCACACTAGGAACTCCAGGCTGATATCGGGTCAGTAAGACAGACAGAGCCACCATGGAATAAGCCACAAGGGTACCAATAGACAGCATCTCGACCAGTTGTCTTATATCCATAATAACCGCCAAAGTGCACACGATGAGACCATCTAGCACAGTTGCTCTTACCGGTACGAAGGTTCTTTGGTTGACTTTGGCGAAGAAACTAAAGAGGAGGCCATCTGATGCCATGGAGTACACGACTCTCGGAGCTGCAAACGAATTGCACATCAAACACGAAGAAGTTGCACAAATTGCCCCGATGGAAATCACGTATCTCGCAGCTGGAAATCCTCTGGTGGCAAACGCCTCGGCCAAAGGAGCAAAGCGGGAAAGGCGATGATAAGGAAGGATGAGAGTAAGGACGGTGGCTACTCCAAAATAAGCCAAAAAGCTTATTATCAGGCAGAACATTATGGAAAGAGGCAAGGAACGTTTTGGATTGATTGCTTCTTCTCCGGCTGTTGCAATTGCGTCAAAACCTACAAAAGCGTAGAAACAACTACCGGCCGCTGTCAGGATACCACTAACGCCGTATGGAGCAAATTTCTTAGGAGAGGACCAATTATTTGATTCGACGTAAAACAACCCGGCAATGATCACAAAACAAATGACTAAAATATTAATTACTGTTGTTATTTTGTTGAATATTGCTGAATGCTGGACACCCAAGCAGACGATGACAGTAATGATGACACCAATCGCCATTGCAAGGAAATCGGGAAAGGGACCCAGAAAGGTAATGTCTTTCCAAGATGCGATGTCGTTAATAAAGAACTTATAAATTTCACCACCAGCAATAGAGTTAATGTATTCACTACAGGATCGAGCCAAAGAGGCAGCCGCGATCAGATATTCCAAAATCATATTCCATCCTACAATGAAGGCGAACAGTTCCCCAAGGGCAACGTACGTGTAGATGTAGGCCGACCCAGCTTTTGGAATCCTGGAACTGAACTCTGCATAGCATAAACCAGACAGAAAAGCAGCAGCGGCGGCGATGAAGAATGAAATCACAACGGCTGGTCCTGCTACGTCTCGAGCTAGTTCTCCAGTCACGACGTACAAACCAGCACCAATCACCGTTCCTACTCCAAGTGCTGTCAAATCAAAAGTGTTGAGACATCTTCGTAATAAGCTTTCACCTTCTATTTGGAGTGTTTCTCGGCGTCGAAGGAGGCTTAAAGCGAAGTTTCGACACGACGACATCTTCAGTCGTTTTGCTTGGGTTCTTCTACAACATAATTTATACAAATGAAAGTGAATGTATTATATCGAGGTACTAGAGTGTGAAGGAATTCAATAGCATCTTTATTAATGTGCAGAATATTAAAGTACTGACAATTAGTCATTCGAAGGCATCTCTGTCTCTCTCGCTCTCTCTCTCTCTGTCTCTCTGTACATTTTCTTTTACTAGTTTTCTTTACTTGAACTGTACTTACGTTTTCTAATAATAATAATAATAATATATACTTTATTAACATTTCATAAAATCTAGTTTACAGAAAACATTAAACTAATTGGGACACCTATCCAGCTTAACTAACACATATATTTATAATTAAAATCAATCATTAGAAGTAATGAATACTTTTAATGGAAAATCCAACCCCTCCTCCCTCCTAGAAACTAAAACTTAATAGTCCCAAACCTCCTAGAAGCTAGCGTTAATATTAACTCCCAGTGGTTAAATAAGGGTTTGAAAACATTTATTAAGCTTTTAAAGATAAAAGAAAAAATTTGAAAAAATTGGCAAAAATATCACTAATATTGCGATGATGCGAGAGCAAAGAGCAAAACAGCATTTAGAAGCTACATTTTATCCTTTAGTGTTAAACAGATTGAGCACCACTGCGGCCTGACTTTATAAATGCGTATCTAAGAAAACTAGAAACATTGAAAAATAAAGCAAATCAAAACTAACCAGTTTGAAGGCTACCCAATATAGCATATGTGGCGTCATATAATCAGTTAAAAGCGCCCACAAGAAGCCAAGCCGAATTGCTTACTATCAATCACGTGACTTTTTGGAGTTGA